GTTAAAATGTTTCAAACTGCAGGCTCAGAGGCCTGCAAGGCAGGCGGGGAACTGTTGGTTTCCTCCGTCACTGAAGCAAGCAAGCCTCATGTTAGTTTCAGCTGCCTGGCTGCCGGCAGCCATCTTGGCTGGCAGTTAATTTGCATATCTCCCTGATTAGCCAATGGGAAGGGTAGCAGTCGTATGCCAATTACCATGTTGTTCTTTTATTAGATTAGACTAGAAGTTTGGTGCATGAAACTTGTGCACTCAGTGGGGGTCTCTCAGGCAAGCCTGTGCCCTCTCACAGTCCGGGAGCCCTCAGGGGATGTCCCATGAGGAGTGGGCCTAAGCCATCAGTCGGACATCCTTAGCACTGCCGTGGAAGCTGGAGCAGTGAGCCCGGCTTCTGGCTGAGCAGTGCTTCCCCTGTGGGAGCGCACTGACCACCTGCATGGTCAGTGCACATCACAGCGACCAGTCATTTTGCTGTTCAGTCTATTTGCATATTAGCCTTTTATTATATAGGATAATACTGTGCTATAAAAAATAGAGCAAATATTTTTTCAAAAGAATCCTAAATCATGAATTCAAGAAACCAGAGGATTCGGTAGCTAAATTTAACAGAACTCCATATTATTTCTCAATTAGACATTAGAGTCCCCTTACAATAGAAAGAACTTTGGAGTAATTCCCAAGGCCTAGTTTTTTATTGGGGCTGTTCTATAATCACTGTCTGTATCTCAATGATGACTGAAGTTTGTGGAAACAGAAACTCAAGTGGGCACCAATTTCATGACCAAAAAGCACCTCCCAGGTCACACTGTGACTCACTATGTTGCAGAATGACTGTCTAGATCAGGGGTGGGCAAACTTTTTGACGCGAGGGCCACAATGGGTTCTTAAACTGGACCGGAGAGCCGGAACAAAAGCATGGATGGAGTGTTTGTGTGAACTAATATAAATTCAAAGTAAACAGCATTACATAAAAGGGTACAGTCTTTTTTTTTTTTTAGTTTTATTCATTTCAAACGGGCCGCATCCGGCCCGCGCCGTAGTTTGCCCATGGCTGAAACAGAAACAGAGACAGAGCCCTAGGGCTGGTCTTAACGCTTCTCAGTTTTCACAGGAAGAATAGTTAAACAGGAGCTGCCTTGTGACTTTACAGGTACGTGAGGATTATACGTAAAGGGAATTGGTCTGACCTAAGAAGCACACAGTAATACTCTACATTAAGAAGTCACCTAGCCTGGCCGGCATGGCTTGGTGGTTGAGCGTCAACCAGTGAACCAGGAGGTTGAGGTTCGATTCCTGGTCAGGGCATATGCCTGGGTTGCAGACTCGATCCCCAGTGTGGGCCTTGCAGGAGGCAGCCAATCAATGATTATCTATCATCATTGATGTTTCTATCTCTCTCTCCCTCTCTCTTCCTCTCTGAAATCAATAAAAATATATTTTAAAAAAAGGAAGAAGTCACCTAGTCTAGCCCTCCAGAGAGAGTGGCATCGCCCAAGGATGAGCTCAGGTAGACCCTGATGTGCAGAGGATAAAGAAAGAATTAGCACTGAACTAAGTGTACCCCCATGTTCAGGTAGAGCATGTTGCTAATTGTTGTCAAGGAGAACAATTAGATATTCTGATATGGAAAAAGGAAAAGTGGCAAAGTTTAGTCAAAAATCACTTATCTGTAAATATTTTCCAATATAAAGGTTCAAATCAAGATCAAGTCATGGTACCAGATCCAAAGGATGCAAAAAATATGGCCAGGTTCATCTTTTGGAAAGATTCTTAAGCATCAATAATATCATCTATATACACTCTACAATTTGGAATTCGTAAGTACTATAAGTTAAAGAAATACAAATAGCAATTTTCTCCTTTGTAGATATCAATAAGAAACAAAACATTCTAGTCAAAATTGGATTTAAGGTGCAATGGAAATACCTTTCAGTCCCAGAAGAGGCAGAAAGGCAAACACTGGTGAACATGATGAGATTTTTACTGTCCTCTTATAAGTCCAGTTAAACAAATCTTACCTCTCCACAATGCTTCTTGGCCACTTCATCCAGGCGAGATTTTAATAAATTAACACTCTCATTGGACAGACCTTTGGCATTTTTTAACTCTATTTCAGGGACTCTGGGAAAGAAAAAACAAAACAAAAAGGAGTTACTCGAAAGTGCAGCCTGTCTGCATTAATATTTGGGGATTTCATACAGGGCTCATTTGTGAACCTCTCTCTATACTCCCAGCAACATTTCTCTGCATCTCAAAAGGCTTCCAACTATACCCCAGCAGCATGGCTGACACAGTGCTCATCATGAATTCATCTGCAGGCAATGTGGAAAGAGACGGAGCCGCCCCAGGAGTTCAGTCCAGGCTTTGGATCCGGAATTCCCCTGGACTAGCATTACTGGGGCTTGATCCCAGTATCTCCCCAACTCCTCTGTCTCTGATTTCAGCTTTACAATCTGATTAAAATTTTCCACATCAACTATTCTTTTACCACCTTTAAAAATATCATTCTAAATATATATATATACATATATATGTATATACATATACATATATATGTAGGTGAGTGGGAATATATGATAAATCTCACACACACGCGCGCGCACACACACACACACACACACACTCAC